AGCGCTCCGGGCCGGGCTGGCCGCCGGGCGGACCCGGGGCCCATGTTCACGCCTGCCGCGCCGCGCCCGCACCCGTTCCCCCGTAGCCGCGCGCCGCAAACCCGGACTCGCGCCAGGCCTGCTTCCAGAACTCGGTCTGCAAATGCACTGCGGAGCCCCGCCGGGACGGGGAAGGGTCTGCGTTCCACCCCGGGACTGCGCAGGCCGCCAGTTCCGCCCCGTGCGCCTGGGGCGGCCGGCACCAGGGTTGGAGAGGACGACCCTGAGACCGAGAAGCCTAGGGTTGGCCCGGGACACCCTCCCTCGGCCTCTGTCCCAGTTCCCTTTCCCCCGGCTCCTTCTTTAGGGCCCCTCTGCCCCTCCCTTGTCCTGGGACCCCCTCCACGGCTTCCCCTCCCCCGGGGTCTCCCCTCCGGGCCCCTGCCCCAGGTCCAGCGCCTGGGTGCCCCGGGGTGTCGTGGTTCCGCAGCGCCCCCGCTCAGGGCGCCGGCGGCTCCCTAGCACTGCGGGGAGGAAGTCCCCGGGCGCGCGCAGGAAGCCGGTCAGGCTGGGCCGAGGAGACGCGGGACGTGGAGGGCGGCGCCCGGTTCGGGACCTCCCTGTGCGCCTGGGGGTGGCCAGCACCAGGGTTGGGAAAGGTGACTCCGCTTGAGGTCGCTGGGGAAACAGCCGGTTGCGTGCGACCCCGCCACGGCGCCTTGCAGCCAGTTCACATGGAAAGAACCGGCACCCCAGAGCGGGGCTCCCCAGGCGCAGCAGCTGGCCGCGGGGGTGGGACAGTGGGGCGTGGATCCCCGCCCTGATCCCCGGCGCCTTCAGCCGAGTAAAATCTCCCAACTTCCTGAAGCGCTTGCGCGTCCCACCCGGCTCGGGACCGTAACCGCCCCATGGGCTACCCGTGGCCGTGACCTTGGCTCCAAGCCGGGCCCGGCCACTTTCAGCCCGGCTTGCTGCGGTCGACCAGGCCCAGCAGCCGGGCGGCGGGGTTGTCCTGACAACCCGGACGCCGCCCGCCTTGCCTGGCCCTGACCAGCGCCGTGGCCGCTGCCCCAGGCGCCGCCGTGACTGTCGGAGCCGCCGTCCGCCTCGCCCTCCCGCGGCCGCGCTGCGCAGACACGGCTGAGCGCGCCTCACTGCCTCGATTTTACAGGCGTTTAAGGACGGAGGCCCGAAGAGTAGAGGCGCGCGCCAGGCATCAGGGGCCCTGGGGAACGCAGCGAGCGTCAGTCCTCTGGGTGGTGCGGACCTCCCGCAGGCCTGGCCTCACCCACCGTGAGAACCCCACCCGCAGGCCTCGGGGACTGCCCCGCCCGGAAGGGCCTGTCCTCTGACCTACCCGCCGGCGCTTGCAGCCTCGGGAGGAGGTGGGCGGGGCCGACTGGTGCAGGAATACCAGGCAGCAAGGACCCCTCCCCCACGTCCCAGGTAGCACCTGAGGGGGAGGGGGAGGGGCCAGGGGCAGAGCCATCGGCACAACAGTTGCACCTGAATTCAGGTGCCGGGTGAGAAGCTCTTCGCACCCGAGGTCCCTGCTGGGAACAGGGGACAACCCGGCAGACCCTTCCCAGGCCGGCAGAGTGGGGCGTCAGCATGTGTAGGGGCTGTGGGTGGAGGGGCTCTGCCAAGACTGCAAGGGGAGGGGATGCTTGAGTGAGGCTGAAGCCGGCAGTCACCCAAGGGGCACCCCACCAGTGCAGGGCTGGGAAGCACGGGTCTGTCGGGTGGGGAGGGCTGAAGTGGTGGGTGTGGGGGGGTAGGAGGGGAGTGGCTCAGAAAGATCTGGGGTGTTACGTGCATAGGGGGCTTCACGGGCAACACCCAGGCTCCAGCCTGTCACCAGTTGGAGGAGCAGTTTGGGGAGGGGGTGACAATACATCCAGGGACTCGCTGAGCTTTGAGGGGGCAGGTGGAGTCAGGGCAGAAGTGGGATGGGCAGTGGATGAGGTTACCTGGTATGTGTGCCAGGGCAGAGTTCCCCAAACCCTACCCTGCAGCTCCCGCCGTTCCCAGGGCCCCACCAGACGGACTCTTTGTGCCCCGCCCTGCTTTCGCCCTGCCCCATGTGATACGTGCTATCTCTTCCTCACATGAACTTGGACACCATTTTTAAAGCCCCGTTGTCTACAAGAAAACCAGTTACCGTAGTTGCCGTGGAGTCGACTCTGATTCATGGTGACCCCACGTGTGTCAGAACAGAGCTGTGCTCTGTCGGGTTTTCAGTGGCTGATTTTCTGGAAGTAGATGGCCAGGCTTTTCTTCTGAGGCGCCTCTGGGCGGACCCACACCACCAGCCTTCTGGTGAGCCGCAGAGCGTGTTAGTCATGTTTGCCGCCCGGGGACTCCCTCTCTGTAGGATACCTGTTGCTGTTGAGTCGATTTGGACTCATAGCAGCCCTACAGGACAGGGTAGAATTGCCCCATAGGGTTTCCAAGGCTATGAATCTTTACAGTAGCAGACTCGAACCACCAACCTTTCAGTTAGCAGCCAAGCGCTTAACCACCGCACCACCAGGCCTCCTTCTGTATGGGGTAGAAGGTGAATAAGGGGTCAGCTGGACCCAGCCCAGCCCCACCCACCTGCCCCTGCCGGCTTCCCCCAGCAACTGCTGGTTTCTAGGAGGCCGGGGAGTTTCTGCAGTGCCTGATTAACATGCATCAGGCTTGATGAGCTGGGGTGTGGAGGGCCTGGGTACCTCTCCCCACTGGCCCTCTTGGCCCCACCCCCACCCCCTTCTGACTGGGCCAGGGGTGGTGCCTGTTCTGGGCTCACTCTGAGTATATCTCTCAAAGGACCGCTCTGCAAATCTGGTTCCAAGGCCGCCCCATACCCTCCGTCCTGGGAAGAATTGCCCGGCTGCCGCGGGCTGCGGGGCATGGCCCCGTCTGAGCTGACTGTGGGTTGCCTGGCTGAATCTAGAAAGGGGATCAGGAGGGACCCTGGCCAGGGCCAACATGGCTGGGGGTGGAGAAGGGCTTCCTCCCTGATCTTGGGCTTGGTCCCAGGAAACTGTCCAAACCAAGCCCTTAAAGCCTCCGGCCCCCTGGGCCACACCACAGCCATGTGAAGCTTACTGAATGCTGACCCTGTGCTTGGCCTGGTCTGGGGGTGCTTTTCTAGCTGCAAAACACCCCACAGCAGTGAGCAGGGCTGGCCAGGCCCGGGACAGGCTGGCTGGCAGACGGGTGGAGGGAGACACGATAGAAATGACAGTCATGTGGCTTGTTGATGGTCTTCTCTTTCCTTTAATGCAGCTTAAACCCTTTACAGCCTCGAAAAAAGCAACATTAAATTTATTAAAAAACAATAGGCTGTCTGTGAAATAAGTCATAATAACATCAAATCCCAGTATCCCCCTCCAGCACACAAGATGACACCTAAGAAAGAAAACGTGCTCAACCAACTCCTCGTGCCTGAAGATGTTTCCGTCAGTACAGCCGATGCTTCGTCATTAGTATTGGTAACCAGTTTCAGAGTCTTAATATTTTGTGTTAAAAAATATATTCTGAGGCTGTGATGTGGGTGAGTGAAGTGAAAGGTTTCCAGTGAAAGTTGTGAACTGATCATCTTTGTTCAAGTTCAATACCAGTTTTCTTTTCATTACTTCATCCTGGAGCTTTTTGGCCTTTGGGGAGAAGAGGGGAGAAAAGTCAGGAAGGACCACAGGACTCGAAGGTCAGCTCCTGCTGGGCAGACACATCTGATGGGGGACAGTCTCTGCACCTGGACCCCGTGTGTGGGGGTGGCGGCGCCCACTTCCTCCTGCACTGTCGCTCAGGCTGCGTCACGGTGCCCATCCCCCACCTCTGCAGCGACAGTGGCGGCCTCGGTTCAGTTCCACACACGGCCTGCTGGGCTTGCCTGACCCCCCTGTGAGGACAGTGACCCTCGGGGTAGACCCGTGGGGATCATCTGGTGGCCCCCAACATGGCCCACCCTGGGTGCTGCACTATGGTGTCTGCATAAACATCAGGCTGGTGAGCGAGTGCGGAGCCCCAGGCTGGCCCTGCTGACTCACCTGAGCCCGGCACCACCCACAGCTACCTGAGAGGTAGGCGGGGCCACGCTGCCACTCTGCCAGGACACAGAGCCTGGAAGCAGGTGCAGGCTTTCTGTTCCAACCACCCCCCTACCCCCCAGCCAACACCCCGGACCACAAAAAGGGACCTGAGTGAGGCACTGCCGCCCTCAGATGGGAACGGGTCCCCAGCAGCCTCGGACATGGTGAAGGGGAAGCCGCAGGGCGCTGGTTTCGACGGTGCCCAGGGGTGGGGGCCCGGGTCCTCCGCTCTCCCTTCCCCACTGTCCCTCCATTCCCATGCCCCCCACCCCCCAGGTATATCTCTTGAGGGCATAACCTGGGCCTCACTCCAACCCAGGCGCTCCGGGACTCTAGAAACGCCCCCTCTGCCTTAACAAAGACGTATCACGATTGTGGGGTACGGCAACAGTCTGCATTTACATGCCTGTAGCTGGATAAACATCACCGCCGCCAATCCAAGAAGTGTTCGTGGATTTTACATTTTTTCCCACAGAAATGTGTACTCCTCGTGGTATTGGCTGCCTCCTTCTTAAAAATGCCACTTGTTTTCTCTGTCACTGTCATTAAATCCTCCCAGACTGTAAGCCCCTCTCATCCCCACATGGCTGAATCCTTAGACTACTTGTGTCCCCTGGGGAGACTGCTTGGGCCCCACCCTCACAGCCGAAATCCTGGAGGCCCTTGGGCCCCACATGGGGTCAAGCTCGTTTTCATGGAACCCTCACTGTCCCTTTTCTTGGTCTACTCCCTTGTTTGGGTAGAAGGCATTCCACAGAGCTTCCAGAGAAAAGGTGCATGGGAAGCAAAATGCCTGAAAATGGCTTGTTCTACCTCACACGCCCTCGCCCTCGTGAAAACGCCTCATTCTACCTCTCATGCCTTCCTGAGAACACTTCATTGTACCTCACTGAGCCTCATTCTACTTCACACGCCCGTGTGAAAACGGCTCATCCTACCTCACACGCACCTCATTGTTCCTCACTGAGCCTCATTCTACCTCACACGCCTTCGTGAAAACGCCTCATTGTTCCTCACACACCCTCGTGAAAACACATTGTACCTCAGTGAGCCTCATTCTACCTCACATGCCCGTGTGAAAACGCCTTGTTCCACCTCACATGCCGTCATGAAACCACCTCATTGTGCCTCACGAGCCCTCGCCCTCGTGAATATGCCTCATTGTACCTCACCCCTCACCGCCCTCGTGAAGACGCCTCATTGTACCTCACCCCTCACCGCCCTCGTGAAAACGCCGCATTGTACCTCACAACCCGGACTGAGTAGAGTCCCCAGACTTTCCGGCCCCTGGCTTCTGTCTTCCCTTGAGTTGCCACTGAGAAGTCCAATTCCACTCTTCTTTCCTGATCCCTGTGTGGCCCATCTTCTCCCCTGCATCTCCTAGGATCTCTGCCTCCTGACTCACGATGCTGAGTCATGGGTTGGGCACTCCTGGGCCTTTCCAGTCTGGAAACACCTCCTTCTGGAAAGCTCTCTTGTGTTGTCTCTATTCATCCCCCTCTAACTAGGGTCTCCTTTTTGGAACAGCTGCCCTCACCCCTCAAGGGAGAGAGGAGTCGGGTAAATGGATGGATGACAGCAGTAGGGTCTCTGTGCAGGTACCCCACTTGCAGCCCAAGAGAGGGGGCCTGTAGTGGGTAGTGGGGCAGGAAGCAGGTGCTAATCAGTGTCTGGGAGTCATGGTGCCATCAGCCCAAGGAGAGAAGACAGTGAAAATCCAGCCCCCATTCCCCACGAGGGTGCCCATGAGCACTCCACACACAGGCTCTGTGGAGGTGTGGATTCATGTGAACAGTCCCCTCCCAGTGCAGAGAACTGGGCGCAGTGGCCTTGCACCAAGGCCCCGCCTCAGGCCTCAGCAGTGGCACAAGCCCCTCCGTGAGCATAGAAGCGCCCCCCACACACCTGGAGGGCACTGAGGCCCCTCTGCTGTTAACAACCTGGAGGACACTCACCACCTCCAGGTCCCGCATGGCTGCCTGCAGCTCCTCCAGCGGTGCTGCCCCTCCAAAGAGCTTCCTTCTCTCGTGAATTTGCTGAATGTGCTGCTTGATCTTCTCCTCCAGGTCCCCGCCCAGGGGGGCCCTGTGGGCGAAGGCAGAGGGAGAGGGGTTTACACAGGGAATCTAGTCTGGCAAGTTCTTGTCCAGCAGAGCTGAAGACGCTGCCTTCTCCCCAGACCAACGGTGGCCCTAGAGACCCTGGTGCCACGGCAGGAGTGTGTCAGCCACCCCCGGGCCCTTCAAGGACCTTGCTCCCCAGATGCCAGTGGCAGGACGCCCCGTGGCCCATCCCCTCCAGGTGAACTCACGTGCGCTGGGCCTACCCTCCCCCAATTCTTCACTAATTTGAAGGCTTCGAACACAGACGCACTCTTAAAAACTTCTAAATTCATTTACGATTTTACACACTTAAGACGGCACATTTTGAGCCACATGAAGGAGAACAGCAAGTTTTTGTTTTCATATGAAATACATGGTTTTAATAAATTCTGAAACAGAGGAGCAGGAAATTCGATTACATTAAAATTTTAAACACATCAGTCCTGCCAGTACTGGGGCCGGGACTTTAGGATTGGTATTCTTTGGTTTTAAACATAACGGCCTGGGACGCTACGGCTGGTCACCAAAAGGTCGGCAGTTCGAATCCACCAGGTGCTCCCTGGATTCTCTATGGGGCAGTTCTGCTCTGTTCTACAGGGTCGCCATGAGTCAGAATTCACTCAACAGCAACGAGTTTGGTTTGTTTCTTTTGGGGGGCCTGGGACATTAGACAGAGACTACTGCTCAGGTCCCATGTGTGCTGCCGAGAGGCAGCCGTCTGCCTGCAGTCACAGGTTATAGGGGGAGCTGTGGAGGCCAGCGATACCTAACCAGAACCCAGTTCTGACCCCCCACTCCTACCCCTAGAAGCCTGCCCCGCCCCAGCAGCCGGGTTTGGTTTTGCTGGAAAGGCAGCATGGCCTCCTCCACCCTCAGAATGCAGGCCTCAACGAGAGGTGTGTGTTTTCCAAGCTTCCAGACCCCAAATTCTAGAATCGTGGACACTGGGCAGCGTCAATGTGGTGGGCACTTGTGGTCTGCCTGGGTTCTAGAAGCCAGGGAGGACCCTTCAGGGTTCCTGGAGGATGGCACAAAACTCGAGTGCTGCCAGTCTTCACTCAGCCGTTTCCACGTAGCTGTGACGTAAGTTGATCTGAGGGTCATCAGGGAGGGCTGCGTCCTCCAGGCACAGAACGCGCCCTCTGCTGCACGTCCTCAGCCCCAACACCCTGCCCAGGCCTCCTGATTGCAGTGGCCTCCAGCACGCGGAAGCGGCTGTGAGCAGTGCGTCAGGCTGCAGGCTGAGTGGCCACGGGCGTCCAGGGCCAGGTCCTCCCAGGATTGGTCTGCTGCGGGGGGGTCACCACCATGTTCCTGTTCTTCAGAGCCCGTGGAGGCCGCTTGGTGCCTCCTGCTGGCCGCAGCTCACAGCACAGTTCTCGTTGCTGCTGTGACGAGGCGTCCCCAACCCCCCTTAAATGTCCCCCCTGGGAAGACACCTCGTGGGGCAGGTTCTCCTTTGTCCCTGTGATCACGAAATCCCCCAGCCTCACTTGCTGCCCACCTGCCCGCCCACCTGCTTTGCCGGCTGACCCACCAGCTGCCCTCCTACCCGCCCGCCTGCTTTGCCGGCTGACCCACCAGCTGCCCTCCTACCCGCCTATTTTCTGCCTCTCCTCTCCACTAGTGCTCCCCTCCTGCCTTCCAGCCCCGCTGCATCTGCCCTGGCTGTGCTGCCCCTCCTCCACCTGCTCCCCCCTCACCTCCGTGCCCACCATGTCCTCTTCCCTCCCTGCACCTGCCTAGTGTCTGCTCACGGCTCCTCCCAGCTGCCAGGCACCCCGCTCTGGAGGCACCCCTTGGCCCACCCTCACACCCTCTCACCTGGGCCGGTTCTCCTTGGGCTCTGCCCATCTGCACTGCCTTGCTCTGGTCACTGTACGCAGCTCCTGCTCCCTCCCAGCACTCCTGCTCCACCATCCCCCTGCCCTGTCGCCTGGCCCCACGCCGTCCATTGGAGCCCTGTCGCCCTCACTCAGCACTGCTAAAAGTCCCGAGCCCTGGCCAGCCGACCTCATGCACCTCCTGGATTCTGGCAGCGGTGCAGTGAATTACTTAACGTGGCCCTTCTAGTTATTTATGGTTTTGTGACTCCCACAAAATGATTGGGTGGGACTATGCAAATAAGGTGCTTGTGGCCTACCAAGGGGATTGGACAGCTTGCTAACAATGCAAATAAGGTGCATGGAACCCTTGTGGGGGTAGGACCATGCAGATAAGGTGTATGGAACCTTACAAGGGGATTAGTCAGTTGTGCCATCCCTCTAGGCTTAAAATGAGCCAATCCCAGAAGGGGGGAGGGGACTTCACTACCATCAAGAAAGAAGATCCAGGAGCAGAGAGTGTCCTGGGGACCCAGGGTCCCTGAGCTGAGAAACTCCTAGACCCAGGAGACAGAGAGAGCTGTAACACAGGAGATGGCCTGAGATGGCGAGAAGCGGCAGCAAGCATGACAGAGTCCAGCAGCAGAGAAATGGTGGCAGCAGAACCAGATCATCGAGAGATGGCATGGTGTGCTTCCCGGCCCACAGAGCAAAGCAGCTATAGCGGGTGTGTTGACCCAGGAGCGAGAGAGCTGAGTGCCTTTGGGCCAAGGCTTATTGGCAAAGTGGGATGCCTCTGGCCACTTACTGGGGGGAGCTAAAGAGCTTTGTAACACTTGCCCAAACAGGGCAGAGGCTGGGCCAAGGGGCCGAGAGGCCTGCCTTTGGGTATGGCTGAGAAGCTGTCCTGATTGAAGAACTGTATCCTGAGTCATCCCTGATCCTGAAATGTAACCTGTTGCTTCCCTAATAAACCCCATAACTATCAGTATGGTCTGTGAGTTCTGTGTGGCCATTGCAATGAATTATTGACCCTAGCAGAAAGAAGAGTGCCATGGGAGGGACAGCTGGTGTCAGAACTGGTGGAGGTAGGTTTGACCTCCACCTCATAGGAATGGGCCTTGGGCTGATGCTGATGGTGATTCTCTCCCTCTTCCCCCTCCTGAAGTTCTACGAGGTCTGACGCCACCACACCATTTTTCACGCCGGCCATCTCTTACGCTCGCTGCCCCGGCCTCGCTGCCCCGGCCCTGCCCCTCTTGGCTGCTCTCTGCTCTGCAGTCAGGACCACCCTTCCACGTCGACGTTCATTCATCAGTGTCACGTGGGGCCCCAGCCGTGGCCCTGCCCGGCCTGCTGGGCCCTCAGAGCTCCCATGGACATCCACACCCTCTCTCCTCTCTGGGCTGGTGGTGCTGTGGCCTGGAATGACCTGGAATGGCCCGGAACGCTCCCTCTTCTCCCCAGCCACGGCTGACCACGCCCTCCTCCTCAGCTCACGGGGTTGGACGGCACATCCCCAACGCCTGGCGAAGATGCTGCCTCCTGACCCTGAGGCCCCTCGAGTCTGAGCCCAGGGGACCGCACCCCATGCCTGCTTCCCCTGCAGTGCTGCACCCCGGGGGCTTGCAGACGTCAGGGCGGGATAGGCCACCAGGGTCAGGGAGTGACACCTCCAGGGTCCACCCTTGGTCAGGGGGCCCCTCTGTGGAGGCCCGTGGACATGCCTGCTCCACTCTGCCCCCTTGTTCTCATACCCTTCGTGGCAGGGCCCTCCCCGTCCCACTTCCTCTCTCCTCTGGCCGCCCCTAGACAACTGCCCACACCCAAGTCCTGGTCTTGGATGGACGGCCGAAGACAGAGCCCCAGGCTGGGATCTGGAGCTGGGTCACTGCATGCTGGACTGCCTGGGGTGGGAGTGGAGACAGGTGTAGCCCAGAACATGGAGTATCTCACCTGGGCACAGGTAGGGGAGAGCCCTGCCGACGTCACAGCCTCTGTGTGGCAGATGTGTGATGACATCAAACAGAGGGGACTGGGCCTTGAGGCAGGAGAGAGGCGGGCACGGGGCAGATCACTGACCCCAGGGCGCTGTGACACACAGGCCTCATGTCTCAGGAGAGAGGCAGGCACGGGGCAGATCACTGACCCCAGGGCGCTGTGACACACAGGCCCCATGTCTCAGGAGAGAGGCGGGCACGGGGCAGGTCACTGACCCCAGGGCGCTGTGACACACAGGCCCCATGTCTCAGAAGCCACCCTGCACGCACACATGGGTGTCGTCATGGCGGCCGAGTGCCAGAGGGGCCTGAGCACACAGCCAGAGCGGTGAGCTCCTGGGAGAGCTGGCAGAGGAGTGGGTTGGAACCGAGAACGTCTGGGGAGAGGGACATGGGGCAGCTGAGGCAGCTGACCACTGTGCCTCACGCCAATGCCTGGAGCACCCCGCGGGGAGGCTTACACCAGTCCAGACGGTGCAGGGGATGCAGCTGGTCAGCTGCGTGAGCCTCTGTGGGCAGTGACCATCTTTCTGCTCACCACGTTACCCCAGCCCCACATGGCAGGGCCGAGCCCTGTCACCCGTTTACCCCGGCCCTGCACGGTGGGACCAAGCCCTGTTGTTACCCAGGTACCCTTGGCCCCGCACAGTGGGACGAAGCCCTGTTGTTACCCCGTTATCCCTGGCCCCAGATGGCGGGACCAAGCCCTGTTGCTACCCAGGTACCCTCGGCCCCTGCACAGCGGGACGAAGCCCTGTTGTTACCCAGTTACTCCCGGCCCCACACGGTGGGACCAAGCCCTGGAGGAATCAGATGAATATCTCGGTGACCAACCTCGCTTGTGATGACTTCTCTTTGCTTTGTTTCGCTCTTCCTGGTGGATTCATGGGTAATTTCTCATTATCGATTCGATCCATGGCAAAGGGAGCTTCTGATGCTACCTAGGAAAATACAAGATGTTTTCAGGAGCCCGAGGAAGCAGAGCTTCCACACCTGCCCGTGTGAGAGGGCTTTCACGCATGGCAACGTCAGTGACGTCGGTGACTTTCACGGCATGCGCACGTGCGGATACCTCACTGACAAAGCGAGGAAAGCAGGACACGCTGACACTGGGAAAACCTCGTCATCAGTCCACTGGTCTTGGATCAATGACAGAATGAGTGGGCACAAATACACTTAGAGAACTTACGAGGAATAGTTGAGGGTTGTTTTTCGGATAAAGACCACTGACCACTGCAACTGAATACCGTTAAAGTTCCCTTCCGCTCCGTTAACTGTCCCCGCTCCTCCCCGAAACATAAGCAGCAGCCACTCGACTGTCTGAACATGGATCCCACAGGTTCAGGGGCCGAAGAGACCAGATGGCAAATGCAAAACGTGTCAACACCCACTTCTATTTTCAAGTATCTCTTAAATGATATTTTCTGAAACCTTCTCACGGCAGTGCTGTCTGGCTAAGCCTGATGTTTACGGGTTTTTACTGGACATGCAAGTGGCACTGGGAGTCGAGTGTGCTGATGGGCTGGCAAAGGGCCACAGAGGAAGAGAATATGCTGGAGGCTCATCTCTTTTCTGGAAGCTCTCTGTAAGAATCACAGAGTGTTTACGTTTATTTTGGAAAGCACACCCGATTCCTTAAAGCTTCAGAGTCACAACAGTTTCAGTACTGTCTCTAGTGAGAAATCCTGGTTTAGATAAGTCGACTCCAACTCCTGGCAACCCCAGGAGTAGTGTCAGAGTAGAAATGTGCTCCATAGGGTTTTCCCAGGCTGATCTTTCAGAAGTAGATTGCCAGGTCTTTTTTCTGAGGCACCTCGAGGTGGAACGGAACCTCCAACCTTTCGTTGGCTGCCAAGCACGTTAACTGTTGAACACTTGTGAACTGCTTGACACTTGTTCCTTGCTGTCGAGTCCGCCCTGACTCATGGTGATCACATGTACAACAGAACAAAATGGAGCACCATCCCCAGTTGGCTGTGGATTGGACCACTGTGATTCACAGGGTTTTCACTGGATGATTATAGGAAGTAGATCCCCAGGCCTTTCTTCCTAGTCTTGGTCTGGAAGCACCACCAAAACCTGTTCAGCATCACAGCAACACGCAAGCCTCCACTGACAGACGGGTGGTGGTCGTGCGTGAGGTGTGTTCATGGGGAATTGAACCCAGGTCTCCTGTGTGGGAGGCGATAACTCTACCACCAAACCACCACTGTCCTGCCTGATACTTAGAACCAAACCCTGTCGCTGTCGAGTCGATTCTGACCCATAGTGGCCCTATAGGACAGAGTAGAATCGCCCTATAGGGTTTCCAAGGAACAGCAGGTGGATTTGAACTGCCAGCCTTTTGGTTAGCAGCCGAACGCTTAACCACTCTGCCACCTGATACTTGTTGTTTTTGTTAGGTGCTGTTGAGTTGGTTCCAACTCATACGACCCCATGCACCACGGGACAAAACCCTGCCCGGTCCTGCGCCATGCTCACAATCATTGTTATGCTTGAGCCCACTGTTGCAGCCACTGT